TTTTAAATCTTTTCCGAAGATCATCTTTCTTGAGCCGTCGCATTAGAAATACACATTCAATCCTGAACCACCGTACCCCGCGATCTCTGACAGCCGTTTCTCCAATACTATTTTACAATATCTTGCCCCCAGGGCGAATTGTAGAAGGTCATAACACCAGCGAACTTAGTACATTCAACAAGGACAAGGGCACCTCATCACAGATGAAAATTCCACCACACTCACAAATACCAAGCCTTGTTACTCCATCAACCCAAATCTGAACATTCTTAGCCCGATTGCCTTTCCCCCGTCAGGAATAAAATACCGAATCTCTAAATCATGCACTGAGTAACCTCCCTTAGAGTCATTCACGGCCCCGACAGGTAGGCAAGCATCCTACCATCACATCAATACTGCGCGACAACCGTTCATAAGCACCATGGCAATATGTGCCTAGCCCCAGAGCTCTCAGAAGTACGACTACTGAGCTGAAACGACAGAATATCCTTCCACAAGGCGACGACAATAGTCAAATCAACTACGCCGGGAGAAGCATCCCGCACCACCTTTGTAGTACCTTTAGAATTTCTCAATTCCGAATTTATAATAAGCGCTTTGCGTCGCCTAAGATCGATTGGGAAGGAAATAAGGCATAAGCTTCAAAGGAATCAAATCGCACAATGAGGAAATCAAGAAGGGAAGTGCTCCTAACAGCCCTGTAGCCTCCCGAAGATAAGTACAGATGTCTCCGTACCGATCCGCGAGACTCTACTAGACTTGCTCATGACTCGTGAGACCTAAGGGAACCTAGAGCTCTGATACCATGTTGTCACGACCCAAAATCCACTAAGGGTCATGATGGCGCCGAACACCGCTATCAGGCAAGCCAACCACAAATACTTAATTAAATTCTCATTTAAATAGTTGTGAAAACTCTGATTTTCCTTCACTTTTACTAGTAAAAGATACCCATTTCAAATTAAATATAAATGTCAAGAAGTCAATACAAAATACCCCATAATCATCCCAGATTCGGTGTCACAAGTGCATGAGCAATTACTAAGGGAATCGAATAAAGTACAATCACTGTCCGGAATACAAATTGGACAGCAATAAATACAATACGCTGAAAGAGACTACACTGGCTGCGGGTCTCCTCGAGAAATGGAGCTCACCTAATCTCCGTATCATCCATGTTGTTACTCCCAGTAGGCCGCTATAAATACCTGTACCTGTGCAACAAAATGCATAGCAAGTGTAGCATGAGTACGAAAACAACGTGTACTCAGTAAGTATCCCGCCTAATCTCGAAGAAGTAGAGACGAGAGGACGACTTCGACACTTACTAATGGTCCAATAATGATAAATCAATAATGTAATAAATTGAGGATTTATAAAAGCATGATTGTAATTCAATAAAGTGAAGCAAGTAAACAATTCTTTCTTTTATAGGAAATTCCCAAATCCCTTTTTTATCATTTATACATTTATTCTCAAACCGGGAAGAACAATATCACTTCAATAAATTTCAAGGCAAGCAATACAAGCATGCGCAAATCATGCCGAGGACGTACGGTCCGGTCCAATAATATTTAAACTATGCACTGCCAGAGGGTCGAATGGCGCGAAACATAGATGCATCTATTACCCCGCTCACGAATCATACATGCGACGCGGTCAAATATAAATAAACAATCACCCTGCTCGCGAATCATACATGCGAAGCAGGTACACATAGAATAACATATTCAAACAGTCAATCAAGACATTCGTCAAGGAAATAATTATTCAAGGAGGTGTAAATTTCTCTTTTTACAAGTCAAGAAAAAGAAGTTTAACTCTTTTAGAAAATCGTTTGCCACTTCGATATGATTTAAGCATTTTATAAAATTTATCAACAAGGTTGCATTTATTACAAGTAAGCATGCTTTTGGGTCCTAAACTACCCGAACATAAGCATAATAGTAGCTACGCACGGACTCTCGTCACCTCTTGCGTACGTAGCCCCCACAAATAGGAGCACATAACCGATTAACTCACCTATGGGG